CACTCCTGACCAGTGGCTGTCCAACCTCTTCTTGAACACCTCCAGTGACAGAGAGTCCACATACAGTGTCCCTAGGTAGTCTATTCCACTGCCTTACTGTTCTACTGGTGAAGAAGTTTTTCCTGATATCCAATCTAAACCTACTTTACTGTAACTTCAAGACATTGGTCTGCATCCTATTCTCTGCAGCATGAGATAAAAGGTGTTCTCCCTCTTCTTTATGGCAGCCCTTCAAGTATTTGAAGATTGCTATCATGTCCCTTCTTAAGTGCCTTTTCCTCAAGCAGAACATGTCTAGTTCCTTGCATGACTTGCTTTCCAAGTACTTGATCATCTTTGACACCTGTACCCTCTCCTTTTAGAAATGTGGAGCCCAAAACTGCACACAGTATTCTAGATGAGGCCTAACCAGCACTAAGTAGAGAGAAACTATCACCTCCTGTGTCTTGTACCTAATGCTTTGGTGCATCCTAAAACTGCATTTGCATTTTGTGCAGCTGCATCATACTGCAGACTTGTATTGAATCTGTGATCTACCAAGACTCCAAGATCCTTTTCCATTATGTTGCCATACTGCCATGTGCCACCCATTTTGTACCTGTTTTTTTTTTTTTTTTTTTTTTTTTTTCCCAAGGTACATTTGTCAGAATTGAACTTCATCCTATTAGCTCCAGTCCAGCTTTCCAATCCGATTTTCCAATGGGATCCTTCCATTACTTTCCCATCCTCTAATGTTTTCATAATCCTTCCCTTTCGCTTTCCCAGTGCAGTTGCCTCTCCTGCTCCTGTTCTCACTCTTCTCCATATGAGGGCCATCCTTGTGGGGCCCTTCAACAGCCCCGGTGTTGGAGAAACTTGCCATGGGAAAAGTGGGGAGATCACATTCCCCTTTTTCCTGCACCATCAAAGGTGGGAGTTGGGGTGTTGTGCATTTCACCCAGTGAAGTGAATAAGACACATCATGGTACAGCTGACCTGCTTCATTCGGCAACATCTATTTCTAGCCTGAGGTGCCACCACTTTTTCAGCAAAGCAGGCTTTGTACAGAGAGAATTATGCTAATTAAGAAAATTGTCCAAATGTGAATTAAATATAATCTTGTCTTACTGACTCTGAGATATGTAGTAGGGCAGTGTGAAGCTTCGGTCCCTGATTTGATTTGGCGGAGATTTGGCCCAATTCAGTGGCCAAATCTCCAGTTTGATTCAGATTCGGAGGACCCTTTAACTTCTCCAAATTGAATCGAAACCTTCCAATTCAATTTGGAGAGATTCGGAAGGATTTGGTGATTCAGACATAGAGAAAGCTTTTAAATGTTTTTTTTCTACATGCCTCTAGGTAGAAAGGAGCTCGTGAATGCTGCAATGGTGGGATGGATGGAGCGTCCCACAGAAGTACGGGGGCTCTCCAGTATGCTTGGCAGCAGACCCAGAAGTGGACCAGGAGCTCATCAACTAGTATCTCCTGGGTCTGGGGGGGGCACCTGGGGTCCCCCTGTAATTGATTGGTGAGCATGGGGGGGCCCTCCAGCGCTCTCCTTGGCAGGACTGGAAATACTTCCAGTCCAGTTCTGGGTTTGCCACTGAGCATGTGGGGG